TGAAAGAACACAACCTTGTCGCACACCTTTCTTAATTTTAAACCATTCAGTGTTCCCTTGATCTGTTCGAACAACTGCCTCTTGGTCCTATGAGGCTACTGGAAATACCCTGGTTGGGTCTGTCCGTCTACATATGTGTGCTGGAGCCTGCTGGTGGAACGATGAAGCTCTCCGCTACTAACTGAAAGGTTGGTGGTTCGAATCCACCCAATGGCTCCTTGGGAGAAAGACCTGGTGATGTGCTCCCATAAAGATGGCAGCCTAGGAAACCCTGTGGGGGCAGTTCTACTCTGTTACACCAGGGGGCGCTGTGAGTGGATGATGTATAAGACTACATAAGAATATATTGTGACACAATAGATGACAGCCTAGGAAACTCTATGAGGCAGTTCTACTCTGTCACACAGAATCAACTCAAGAAAAAATCCCAACTCACCAAACCCAGTTTCATCGAGTCGATTCCACCTCCTAGTGGCCCTCTGTAGGATTTCCCCAGACTGTACATCTTTACAGAGTGGCTAGTGGGTTTGAGCTGCCGACCTTGCAGTTAACAGTCCAACGCTTATCCTACAGTGCCACCAGAGTTCCTTCACAACAACAACACAGCTAAATAGAGGTGGACAGACACTGCAGTTATTATTCACAGCTTCGTCTGAGATTGCTCAGTGCACAACCTGCACAACCTTACATGGATACCCTGACTTAGATAAAAAATAAAAATCTAAAAGAATGCGGTGGACTGTCAAGTGGGGACACAATCAGAAGACCAAGAAGGAAGCCATGGGGTCCCAGAAAAGGGGAAACAAACACTCCCACTCACCCACTCAGCCCCAGCCTGCCCAAGCCTTACCCTGAGTGCGTCGGGTTGAGCAAAGTAGGTGACGGCCCCGATCTTAATGGGAATCCACAGGTCCATCATCTGGGCTGCGATGTGGCTGAGGGGGAGGTAGCTGACCACCGTTTCCTGCTTCTCTGGGGCCAAAGACAGGCCACAGTCCCTCGACACGGCCCCTGCCGTCCACGTGATCTAGAACACAAGCCGCTTTCACCATCCACAGTGGTTTACAGTTCAAATCCACCAGCTGCCGCGGGGGGAGAAATATAAGGCATCGCAGTGGCTCGGTACGATGAGCACTGGGCTTCAAACCACAAGGTCCACAGTTGGAGCCCACCAGCCACTCCATGGGAGAAAGATGAGGCTTTCTGCTCCCGTAAAGATTTACAGCCTCGGAAACCCTGTACAGGATTGCTATGAGTCAGAACCGACTCCACGACACATAACAACAACAACAACAACAGACCATACATTCAGAGCATCTGAGTTTTATGTGCTAGATCCTCAAACACTGTCCTGCCCTGTGAGTCGGGCACAAAACAGCTTGGAGGTCATGGCTGCATAGACAGAACTCGGTTATACTGCTGAGTTCACCATCACCGGTGGGCGGAGCGACGGCACTTACGTTGTCGTGACGCACTTACGTTGTCGTGGCTGAGCATCACGCCCTTGGGGTTGCCCGTGGTCCCCGAGGTGTAGATGATCACAGCACACTGGTTGGCCTTCTGGGTATCCATGATGTAGTCCAGCTGGGGATCAGAAATGTAGCTACCAAGCTGCAGGAATTCAGCCCACTGTGAAAAGATGACAAGCAGAGAATGCGGAGCCAGTGGGGCCCAAATCCCCTGACCTTAATGGGAACTTAAGCTCCCCGGGAGGCACAAGCATCTGGTGTTCAGTTGCCAATCTGCAGGCTGGTGGTTTGAGTCCATGGAGCAGTGCCATGGAAAAAGGATTGGAGGTCTGCTTCTGTAAAGAGGAAGGGCATGAAAAACCTTCTGGAGCAGCTCT